TGCGTCGAACAAACCCCAAACATAGAATGGTAATTAAGCTTATATTTTAATGTACTCGTGAATGACCGGAACATCACATTAGAGTATGGACGTATGTCCCGGCGCTAATGTCATAATGTCAACAAGTATTGAGAGAATTAATGTCAACCAGCAGGTTTCTCTTGCATCCACAATTTATTATAAAAGACATATCCAGGAAAATTCGTCCGAATAATCTACTAATAAAACACATCAAAGAACTGACACAGAGGATTCCACAACAGAGAGAGAGAAGGGGGGGGGGGGGGGGGGGGCAGAAAGAGAGAGAGGGGGGGAGAGACAGAAAGAGAGAGAGAGGGGAGAGACATAGAGAGAGAGAGAGGGCAGAGACAGAAAGAGAGAGGGGAGAGACAGAAAGAGAGAGAGAGGGGAGAGACAGAAAGAGAGAGAGGGGAGAGACAGAAAGAGAGAGAGAGGGGAGAGACAGAAAGAGAGAGAGGGGAGAGACAGAGAGAGAGGAGAGAGACAGAAAGAGAGAGAGAGGGGAGAGACAGAAAGAGAGCGAGAGAGAGAGGGGAGAGACAGAAAGAGAGCAAGAGAAAGAGGGGAGAGACAGAAAGAGAGAGAGGGGAGAGACAGAAAGAGAGAGAGAGGGGAGAAACAGAAAGAGAGAGAGAGGGCAGAGACAGAAAGAGAGAGGGGAGAGACACAGAGAGAGCGAGAGAGAGAGGGGAGAGACAGAAAGAGAGAGAGAGGGGAGAGACAGAAAGAGAGAGAGGGGAGAGACAGAAAGAGAGAGAGAGGGGAGAGACAGAAAGAGAGAGAGGGGAGAGACAGAGAGAGAGGAGAGAGACAGAAAGAGAGAGAGAGGGGAGAGACAGAAAGAGAGCGAGAGAGAGAGGGGAGAGACAGAAAGAGAGCAAGAGAAAGAGGGGAGAGACAGAAAGAGAGAGAGGGGAGAGACAGAAAGAGAGAGAGAGGGGAGAAACAGAAAGAGAGAGAGAGGGCAGAGACAGAAAGAGAGAGGGGAGAGACACAGAGAGAGCGAGAGAGAGAGGGGAGAGACAGAAAGAGAGAGAGAGGGGAGAGACAGAAAGAGAGAGAGGGGAGAGACAGAAAGAGAGAGAGAGGGGAGAGACAGAAAGAGAGAGAGGGGAGAGACAGAGAGAGAGGAGAGAGACAGAAAGAGAGAGAGAGGGGAGAGACAGAAAGAGAGCGAGAGAGAGAGGGGAGAGACAGAAAGAGAGCAAGAGAAAGAGGGGAGAGACAGAAAGAGAGAGAGGGGAGAGACAGAAAGAGAGAGAGAGGGGAGAAACAGAAAGAGAGAGAGAGAGAGGGGAGAGACAGAAAGAGTGCGAGAGAGAGAGGGGAGAGACAGAAAGAGAGAGAGAGGGGAGAGACATAGAGAGAGAGAGAGGGCAGAGACAGAAAGAGAGAGGGGAGAGACACAGAGAGAGCGAGAGAGAGAGGGGAGAGACAGAAAGAGAGAGAGAGGGGAGAGACAGAAAGAGAGAGAGGGGAGAGACAGAAAGAGAGAGAGGGGAGAGACAGAGAGAGATGAGAGAGAGAGAGAGAGAGAGAGAGAGAGGGAGAGAGAGAGAGAGAGAGAGAGAGAGAGAGAGAGAGAGAGAGAGAGAGAGAGAGACTCACTCGACTAAACACATGTTGCCGATTATACGTACATCTACAAATATAGTCATCCCCATATTTCCAGCATGTTCCTGGAAGGATGACCCTGGCTGTAAAACCGTGCCTCCCCAGGCATAATGAAGTCCAGATTGCGTGATAGGTTAATTATGTCTGGACTCACAGCCCCGTGCCCAAGGCAGCAGGGAAACTATATATATTTTTACGTGGGTTAGGGAATGTTTACATCATCCTGGTAACGAGAAACATTAATACAAAGCCCTGTTTACGCGATTTCGTTTATTTCATTTTTATCCTTCATAATAATATATGCCTCTACATACATAACAGTCGAAGAAAACATAATGTTGTAATGCAACACACGCCGAACGTACGTTTGGACTTGTGGCATACACGTTGTGATATTGTCACAAACGTATTGTTTTTCGTTTCACCTTATGCTTCAAGAATTTCATGGACCTGGCAGAGGGAATTGATGCATGTTTACGAAACCACCAGAATGGCACATAACAAACCGTTTTAAGTCATTGCACTTAATTATTTGGTAACCATAAGTTAAGTAAAGGTAGACATTGCATATCAGCTATGATAAAGCCATTCCTTACTCTCTGCGTCGAATATACAGTTATATAAAGACAACTTTGCTTGCTCAGATACACACAGTGGCTATCGCGACAAGTACGGTTATCTGTCTGGTAAATGTGTACTGACAAGAGGGTGGATGAACTACCTATGTAAGGTGAGTTGTAGTTGACCCCAGTAAACCACTTAGTTGGATGTGAGATCAAAGTGAAAGCGTTCTATCCCTTAAGGCAAAAAGATAAAAGGACGCTAAGGTCACACAAAGTGCATACGACAACAACACAAAGTGTATCAGGTGCGCATACAGAACGCATGATCCCAATCTGTTGATAGTGACAGCTTTTATCATCGAAGTCTTACAAATGAAACGAATGAGCGTTTGCGTTCAACAAGGTAATGTCCATCTAAACAGATTCAGAATCGTTTCTATATCACAAGAGATAAGATTCAATATAACACAGTTGTACATTTGTCATCAATATTGTTCACACACATATAAATATAACAGAAATTAATTTGATCTCTTGTACAAATAAGGTCCCACACACTTTGTCTACCCATAACTTAAGCTGTCATTCTGATCCATGTACACAGCTGTGTGTGTGTCCATGCATAGCCTGTGAAGTCCACCATAGGTTCAGCAATCAATATCGTTCTTTTTCTGTATACAATACGTCTGACACCCACATGTTTAATACATTGAGGGCCCGCGAACAGAACATGTAATAATACTATCAATGTCAATCCCTGTCTTACGAAAACACCGTCTTTGATTTCCAGAGGGGAAATTAATATCAGGATTGAGTGATGGTTTGTTTGAAGGCAACTGCTGTCTTGCTATTACAAACCGTGCCCTCCTCGAACGTTGTGCTGTTTAGTCGAGAAGCACTTAACAAGCAATACACTGACGGGCGCCTCGAACACTGAGCCACCCGTGCCCCTGTCATTCCAAGGGACATTTCATGGTGGTGGTCCTACGTTAGACAGATCATTTTCAGCTATATTACTTGCACATGGAGTCATTCCAAGCACTGGGTGTATGAGTTGAGTTAAACGCCGCTTTTAACAGTGTCTCAGTTATATCACGGCGTGTCAGCTATATGTGGGAGGAAAGCCCGAAGTTTTGCAGGTCTCAGACTTTTACCATTTTGGTGAAACCAACAAGAACATGTGCTGACAAATCTAGAAACATAATCGGGGCGAACCGGGAATGGACCCCACAATCACTGGTTCCTGGCGTGCCTAAGGGACGCAATTCTGCACAGCGAATTACGACGCCTTAGACGTACCCACGCTTATCCAAGAACATGTAATGGTGATGGGTCTTCGAAAGGCAGATCCTACTGGCATCTCTTTCCGTAACGTTAGGCTCATTCAGAGCAAGGGTTTCTCCTTCCCTTTCACAACCGTCCATATTGGGAACATCGATAAAGGCTTGGTATTTAATCAAATTTATCGGCAATCGCACAAAGCATGTCCACGTCCCCAAACAATAAATGAATCGTGACGGCCTTTCAAGAGCAGATAACACAAGGTTTCTACAACAAGTACAATAGACAGTTCAGATATTAAAGAAAAATGTATTTCTCGTTTTGATGATACATGACTGTACACTAGCAGGTTGAAGGACTACAAGTATAATAGATGTCTCGTGTGCTCTGGCCTCACCGAGATAAACGTTGTCGGCATATTCACGGCCAATACACAGTGGCTCTGTGGTATTTATGTACGTTAGAGCATCAGTTACGGCATGAGTGGATCAAATAGAAACGCGCCAGGAAAAAGGATGCTTCATTAAGCATTCCTTTTCAGATCATTTCAGATTAATTGGGAGATTGATCTTACCCAAGGCCCGAAGCTGTAAACATATGGCTCATTTCCATAAACTAGAGTTAAGGATAATTTTATAAAGTATTTATATTAATCTTAAAGCACTTTTCATCATGTTGTGAGACACATACATGAAATGCGTCATTCTCACAGGTGCCTTTCTAATGCTGTGGTTGCTATGTTACACAATGGTTTTATAACACCTTGTAACGTTTACAACAATCAATCACCCATTATTTATCCGCTACGCAATCACATCCTTGCAATCATATGGAGACAGTTGATGTCATGTTATGCTATTTCATATCCATGCAATTAAAGCAATCGTAATGGTATGAAACACTTGGCTGTTATTATATGGAACATACATAGAAGTCAAGGACGATGAAACTGATACAGACATTGACAGATCTAATGACATTAAAACAATTATTGATGTGCTCCAAACCAAGAATCATCGGATATTATGTATACATTGCACTACATATATATATATATTTCAACTATATATTTCAAAATGACATTAAATAGCCCGCAAAGTGAAATATTTTCCTTTTGTGTCAAAATCAGCTTATATCAAATCGATGTCCCAAGTACAATTTGTCAGCAAAATAAAGAACTCTACATCGACACGCGTGTGGGACGTGTGACATATGGCCAAAAGCCCATTCTCTATCAGCATTCTCCACACAAGGGTAGTATATAATTGCAAAAGCAGAAAATGATATTAAATGGACTAGACTTCTTTCTCTTTACCTATCAACTGACGAATTACTGAAAGACAATTTGTGACATAGTGATGCATATGTTTCAGAAGATTATTTCTACGTTTAAAGAGTATATGGTTTATCACCACATACACATACACATTCTTAATAGCGGCAAAACTACAACAAAGATACAACTATGGCAGTTATAACAAGGTTTTCGGCGCATATGTCAAGTCAATAAATGCTCCCTACCTCACTTGCATTTTCAAGGTTGACGGTGTGCCCAGTTTCAGCCACGTAACCTATAATCCCCTTTCCCCATGGTATACGTATATCTCCAGTGCTGGATGGCATAATGTTAGTCCCAGAGTGAACGTCGAATATTTTTGACACAAGGTTGTGTCTACCGGATGCCTTTCCCTCCACAAAGAAAAGGGAACATTTTTCCGCATCAACAAGTAAGCAAACATTTGCAACGATCTTGGAGCTAAGACTTCGGAGATCGAGATCATTGGATATATCCTTGACAATTTCCAGAAAGAATTCCCGTTCATTTGAGTGCCTTAATTCTCTTTTCAAATCTATGTCTTTGCTTGGATAGCGTGGTAATCTCACTTTGGACTGAATTAATAAACTGAGCATGTTAACAGAGTTAGGGGGAAGGGAGCGAAACTGTCGCATTTCTTTCAAACTACTTCTTCTAGCTTCTGTTGCCGATTCAGGGCTTGACGTCGGTTCATAAGTTCTGAACATATTCCGCATCTTGGATCTGGCATAGTCATGCCGCAGGTGCTTCTTTGAGTTGGATCTGTGATGCCTAGAATCAAAGAATCCCGAATCTCCACACTTAAGATCTATAGGGGAACTTGGACTGCTTCCTTCATTGGACGCAGAGTTGTGTCTGGCAGGTAAGCTGTACTCCTGAAGAGCGCTAAATCCGTGCTGTACAAGCCATTTATTTACAAGAACGATGTCCGCTTTGCGAAGAAAGTACTCGTTCATGGCATCTGGATTGGAATCCAGCCATTCCTCGATCACCGTTACGTGATGTGTAGAGGACATATTTACCTTATCCTAGAACTGATCATTTCAACATTGTCCCACCTGAAATGAAGTCCGTTCCGTCGCACCACATGGTCTACTATGGTCCGTGGCCACGGATACAACTGCGGCCCAACTAACAGTCGAGTTTATCAACTGAGCGTATTGAGAAAAATCAATAATAAAGCGTACGTCAGCGCCCATAGAAAGCAGTGAGAGTGTGGCAGGACTCTACAGTAGGAACGACCTGCTGTTGATCTGAGGATCCGCATGCAGCCTAGCATTGTAAGTTGACTATAATAATTGATAACAAGCTAATGTGTCGGCGGCTCGGTGAGTGGGGCGGCAACTTACATCATCAGAGTGATAGTCTATTAATAGAGGTGTCGAATTTTAACATTTATGCAAGTTGCAACGATTTTGTTGGTGTGCTTCGATTAATTTCTATACTTTAAAGATGCAAATCCTTATGTTGGTTGGTCGACAGGTGTTCTGATTGATAGTTGAAATGACAGAATGTAAATCGATATACACACGGCGTTACTCGTAAAGCCCAGCTGCTGTCGACGTTATAGAGATATATTTGGTGTAACTTCGACTACATCAACAGAAAATTAAAAAAACGCGTGAAATAATTGTGTTACAACATAACCCTAAATATGATGAAATGAACGTATCCACACTATATTTGAAGTTGAGCCTTTGACAATTGGCATATCTTTATTTTCCTACATCATGGACATAGTCCTTTTAACTATTTTCATCATTAAAGAACAGCTTCGTGGATATACTTACACACTAACTGTTCTGGTCTAAAACACGAATAATACATCCGAATTTTTAAATGTGGCAGTAATTGTGGAAACTAAATTAATGATACGAAAACGTGTAATGACAACAAATATGTGCCCTCAATCCTAGTGATCCTAGGTCATCAGTGAGAAGTCAAGGGCATCTACACAAAAAGAAAGCAAGAGGATAATACTATATCCTGCATCGACAATCAGTGAAGTGTGAATATTCATTTTTAGAAACTATATCATCTTAAGAGACCGACCATTTAATTTTCTGGGTTGGAGCCTCATAAATACAATACAAAGGAGGGCCAAACAATGTAATGTTTCAGAACGAAGTATTTACTTTTATTGGTGTGTGCGTGTGTGTGCGCGCACGCGTGTGTGTGTAAGTGCGTGCGTGTGCGTATCAAATGGTCAGCCCCTTAGTGTATCAAGAAGAGGAAGTAAAAAATAACGTAGGCAATGTCTGCTTGGATAGACAGACAAGGAGTGAGTGAGTGAGTATGGTTTTACGCCGCTTTTAGCAATATTCCAGCAATATCACGGCGGGGGACACCCGAAATGGGCTTCACACATTGTACCCATGTCGGGAATCGAACCCGGGTCTTCGGCGTGACGAGCGAACGCTTTAACCACTAGGCTACCCGATCGCCCCGACAGACAAGGAAAGGACATATTTATCCGTGTGCGTGTGCGTGTGTGTGTGTGTAGGAGTCAAATGGTCAGCCCCTTAGTGTATCAAGAAGTGAAGTACAAAATAACGTAGGCAATGTCTGCATGGATAGACAGACAGACAAGGAAAGGACACATTGATCCGTGTGCGTGCGCGTGTGTGTAGGAGTCAAATGGTCAGCCCCTTAGTGTATCAAGAAGAGGAAGTACAAAATAACGTAGGCAATGTCTGCTGGGATAGACAGACAGACAAGGAAAGGACCTATTGATCCGTGTGCGTGTGCGTGTGTGTAGGAGTCAAATGGTCGGCCCCTCAATGTATCAAGAAGAGGAAGTACAAAATAACGTAGGCAATGTCTGCATGATCGACAGACAGACAAGGAAAGGACATATTGATCCGTCTTCCCGAGGCTAGGGAATTAGTTAACTGACTGTAAAAGTCGTTTCCGCCCTTGCCGAACTAGGCTGGAATTTCTTGCCTCGATCGTCGTGCCACCAATGGCGATTACGAGTTATGTCCCTTCTATGGCCTTCCAATTGACTTATCAAATTCCATCTCTCATATCACTTGCATGTGCTTCAAACAAAATGACGGCACTCAGTCAAGACGATCTGATCGATACTCAAGGCCTTTATTACGTTCAAATGGGTCTTTTGTTTGTTTGTTTGTTTGTTTGTTGTTTAACGCCGCACTCAGCAATATTCCAGCTATATGACGGCGGTCAGGAAAATAATCGACCCTGGACCAGACAATCCAGTGATTGACATTATAAGCATCGATCCACGCAATTGAGATCGATGTCATGCATCAACCAAGTCAGCGAGCCTGGCCACCCGTTCCCGTTAGTCACCTCCTACGACAAGCATAGTCGCCTTTTACGGCAAGCATGGGTTGCTGAAGACCTATACTACCCCGGATCTTCACGGGTCTAAACTGGGTCTTAAGCACCTTGACTAAAAACATGAACGATCTCAAAAATATCTGTCGACGCCCATATGACGGTAAACATGGTCTGCAAATCATACATTTGACCCAAATCTGAACGGCAGTCATCTTTTTGTTTATGAACTGAATGTTGATTTCGTTCGCGATTTTGATTGGACTATGCATAGACTCGTTAGTTCAGCCAAAATGCGACTCCATAACCCAGGCCTCGTTCGGCAAGGGTGGAAACTGAAATTTTATAGTCAGTTAACTCTCTTGCATTGGGAAGATGACAGGGTGAATTATGCTTCAGACCTTTGAAAAACAAGTCTTATAGTTTTAAATAAAAAAGTACCTGGTTTTGCAGCTGAAGCTGATAGAATATATAATCTCGATAAAACATTCCAGCCCCACCCCAGGGAATATCAAATATCGAAAGATCGGCCCCTTTGATGAATGTGTGTGCATTACAAATTTGTTTAAAATACACGAATTGAGAAAAGCTACAGTTGAATGTGTTTAAAAATGAGAATAAAAATATGTGAAATATAAGTATATATGATCTTGATATCAAAGGAGTCTAAAAGTCAAAATGCAGTTAACAAAATAACATTTATATACTAGTACTGAACTCTGCTTGTTCTCTAACCGCATACACATTTATCTTCATTACCTGCAAAAACATGGCTAACTACATGTACTTTGTATTGCAGTTGTTTGATGTTGCACGCCAAAGTCATAATCAAGATATATTACGTGATCTGAAAATGATTGACCCTTGACCAGACATCCAGTGGTTGATATTATGAGTAACGACTCATGCCGTTGAGTTATGATGATACGCTAGCAACCTAGTAATGCTATCAAGCCATTGAGCCTGACCTTTCAACCCATAGGCCAAGCAGTAGAATGCTGGAGAACTATTAAAACCGGGTCTCAACTGAGTTACCCAACTTCAAAAACACTTCAAAAACACATTTATCTTTTCCAGAGTGATATTCCGTCGCCTCCCTTGTTTCCGTAATGACATCACATTTAGACGCTAACACAATTGTCTTGTACGATGAGATAGGATTCTAGTGACACTGTCTTCCTCTTCTGTCTTCTGTTGAGCATGGATTCTAATTGACCTTTTAGTTTTTCAACAGACGTCCATAATTTGACAAATCCGCGAGCTCGTCAGTAATGTGATAAGTTCCTATTTCATTTGTCTGTTTAGCTCTTAACATTTGATTTAGAACTGCTTGATGGCGTTGAAGCATGGTATGGGATTCAAACGAAAAGTTTGACTGCACAATAGTCACAACATTGTAATGTTTTAAATTTGTGACCAATACTCTCACAATGAATGTGTTTATCGTTGCCAATAATATTCGAAGGTTTACACTTCTCATACATAGTCACGGTACAAATTGCCGAAAGAACAGACAGACAGACTCGCATGACATGGACATGTTTGCAAGATCAAACGTATTACATTACACACATTGAAATCATCACTTAGGATATTTGAGGAAACATACCATCCATCTAATAGACTTAAATGCAGTCGACCTTATATGATATCCAGAGAAATTGTCTACTGTTGTGTACGGCAATGCTATTTGGATGCAATGACAAAATAGAAGACCTTCTCTCCAACGAACTGGCAACATCAATGTCTCTCCAGGAATCTAGATACGCTACCGCAGCCATAGTCACAAAACAGGATGAAGGCCAAATTATACCCTCGACTTGGAAGATGTGTTGCCCCTCCTTCAGGAACCATCGGGACTTCACAACATAAGAGCAAGACTATGCCCTGTGTCACTGAAGGTAAAAAAATAATCAACTGCCTCCAGCAACTTTGTGCTGATGGATGGGTCCACAGACAGTAAGGGCCCACGGTATCGACTAGAGAGTATATTTCTTGATATTGGGTAGCTTAGTGGTTAAAGCGTTCGCTCGTCACGCCGAAAACCCGGGTTCGATTCCCAACATGGATACAATGCGTGAAGCCCATTTCTGGTGTCCCCCGCCGTGATATTGCTGGAATATTTCTTAAAGCGGCGTAAAATCAAACTCACTCACTCAAAACACCCCCCAAAAGGTTCCCTCAAATATCCCACACTATTTCATATTTCAGGAACCACCATCAGGCTCAGTTTCCTATACACGGTATCACCCAAGTTGTTGTAGGTTATACGTACGTGTTGCAGGTTATGAGGTCATCTCCACCGCGTGTGCCTGCCAAGACTCATGATACTGCAACCAACCTGGTGGTGACGTCCCGACTGTTGACAATAACAAACTTCGTCATTTATTCAAGTATAACCCCAAATAACAATTGGAATCACAATTCCAAAATCATTGTGGAAGCTGTTGTAAGGAAGATGAATCAGAAGTCAGTGCGTGCTGTTGTCATTGGAAGAGCGAACAAACTGAAAAAGAGGAAACCCATTCTGACCCAAACCAGCTGTCATCCAAAGTCTGCCTGACCCGTGAAGATTCCGGGGTAAAATAGGTCTTCAGCAACCCATGCTTGCCGAAAAGGTGACTATGCTTGTCGTAAAAGGCGACTAACGGGATCGGGTGGTCAGGCTCGCTGACTTGGTTGATGCATGGCATCGATCCCAATTTCGTGGATCGATGCTCATGATATTAATCACTGGATTGTCTGATCCAGACTCGATTATTTACAGACCGCCGTCATATAGCTGGAATATTGGTGAGTGCGGCGTTAAACAACAAACCAACCAAAC